ATTAAAATATGAAAAAATAAATAATAAATACATGAAAAGATAAATAAATAACCTACCCAAAAAAAATCCATTGATGTTGGTTATATGGTGTCGAACTGTAATGTTTCCACCCGCTTTGCTCTGCCATTTCATTAGCGCATGTTAAACTTTCTATTAAGTGCACGTTATTCCATTTGATACCCTTTTTGGTTTCTGTAATATAAATTTAAAAAAAATTAAACATCTGGTTTGAGCAAAATCTGACCAACTTGTGCCAACATCGCAGCTTTTGTCCCTCCATTATAAGAAAATTCCTGGTGGGCCACTGCTGTGTTAAATGAATAAAAAATTATGTATCTAATGGGCGATGTGTACTCGGTAAAAGGATCTCTTGATTATTCCAACTTCCACCAAACCATAAACCAACCAACCAACCGATTAAGCTATCAATCAGTCAATCAATCAATCAATCGATGAAAAATATTTTTACATTGAAAAATGCAATAAAATTAAACAAATTTTAAAAAGAACAAAATTAGTAAATAGAAGCCGCATTTTACACACCAAAGATAGTAAACAATAATTAGTTAATAAATTATAAACAAAAATGATATTTTGATGACTTAAACATATTCTATGCACTTATTTTAATGATATATTTTCTCTCCTTTCCCCTCAGAAATTGAACGGAACATCAAGGTGAACAATGCAGAGTACAACGCACAATTCGAGTATGCGGTGAGTGTTGCACGGAGCTTTTTATCTCTGTATGCTAATGGAAACAGAACACGATACACGTACTGGATATTGTTTGTGATAATTATTATCTCGCTTCCTCTCTTTTCGGCAAGGGTCTCAAAATGTATTATTACAAAGCTGGGAAGTCGTCGTCGTCGTTGTTGTTATTGTTGTTGTTGTTGCTGCTGCTGCTGCTGCTGCTGCTGATGATGATGATGATGATGACGATGATGTTGCAGATGCTGTACAGTTGTTATTGTTTCTACTATCATTGCTGTCGTTGCACTAGCAGTTGTTGTATGGGTGGTTGACGGGCGCTATGATGTGGTTTGCTCCTTCTGTCCTGACAAACATCTATCGTCCTTATCTCTCCTTCTTTTTTGTGTTTCTTACTCTCTTGTAACACCTCTAATTCTTCTGCACTCATATGACCTTATCGTACTGCAAATTTTGTAAATATCTTACTAGGTCCGTGGGTGGTTGGCGGGTGTTCTGGTGTGGTTTGCTCACCTCTTTCCTATCAAACATCTTTCGTCCTAATCTTTTCTCCTTCTTTTTTATGTTTGTTACTCTCTTGTAACACCTCTAATCTTCGGCACGTATATGACCTTATTGTGTTGCAAGTGCCATAAAATTCTTACTAATACGAAATTACTAGGTCCTAAAACGAACAAAACAAAATAAAGTAGTCATGCTGCTTCACGTTGTTGTCTCCTCGCTGTTAAAGACGTCATTATTGTTGATGTGATTGTGGTAGTTTTGACGTTGTCGTTACACGTTGGTGCTGGATAGTAAGATGGATTGGGAAAGAAAAGAGGGCC